TTACATTTAATGCCTCAATCAATACATTTTTTGCTCACCTCTCCATATTTCTGCAATGCAGAATTCGATCGCTACCCATGCCCCTACCTAGCATTGAGGACACCAAGGTGAAGTCCTCAGTATTTTTCCTGCAATGCCAATAACCATGATCCCTTATGGGGCACACCTAGGAAGGCCTAACAATTTTGACCTCAGTATTTTAAAAATTCCTGGCTATGGCCCAGTTGCTAACCAGTATACTTTTGTCTAATATCATTGGTGTGGCAGTGAATCTTGCCAGCCATTATTAGCAGAATAATGTTACACCACTTTTTATTCTGTGGAAAACGGAAGATTTATCTGCTGGCAAGATTTAATAAGAATGGCAAAGTGGAGATTGTATTTTCTTTTTATCATTTTCATTTTATTTTTTGCAGAAAATACCTCCCATATGCGGCAGCCTGTGTTCTTTTATCAGGCCAGTTCTAACGTGGGGTATCCATTTAAAGGGGTATAGTTTGTTGGTTAGCAGTATAGACTATTGCAAATCTATTAGTATGGAGCTCATTAGTTGCATGCATACGTTATGTAGGCCGCATTTATAATCTACTGTATATGTCTAAATATTGTGACACTGCAGGGCCGGTCAGCAACCTCCTAAATCTTCTGATTTAAAAAAAAAAAAAAATCAAAAAACAATGGTTAACATTTGGCTCTGGGGACCGAGTTGCATAAGCGGGAACTACATTTTGATTGGTCCGTAAGGGATTGCGCAAAGTGTCTGGGACTGTTCATATTGCAATAAAAAGCGGTGCTGCAGTCAAACAAACCATCCTGGAAATTGCAGATTTTCTGTATTAAAACTTGCTCAACAACATTGAGAAGATGAATGTAAGTATATATCTATATATTAGACTTTCGATACCTGCCTTTCCAAATTAAGTCTGTCATACAAATGATTTTGTGGGAATGGATTAAAACTAACCCAGCTGGATTTGAGCTAGTTATCCTCTCAAATAATTATTTAAATATAAACTAAATATCAATTTAACAAAAGCCTTAAATTCTACTATGATCAGTCTGATAATGTGACTCACTCAGTGCTGGTGAGTCATAGCTGAATTTGATCAATATCCCTTAGCAAGAAGTAGTTTATTCAAGTATACTATGAGTATACTAAAACTGAGGCAGTATACTTGAAGTTTACTTTTTATATACTATATTTTATATAGTATAGTGAAGTATACTTGACTTATACTGATAAGTATAAAGAAAAGTCTAAGACTAAGTGCATTAATACTTAGACTTATACTTTAATACTAAAGCATATATTTATACTTTAGTATACTTTACTTCTCAACATTCTGTCTTGTGATTTTGTAAATACATTACAGTCTGTACATACAGTATGACTTAAATTTAAGAATACTTAAGAAGTATATTTCAAGTATATACATAGTATACCACAAGTAATATGCTAAGCAAATGTACAAGAAGTAAGATGGTAGCGCAGGAGGTAGTGCTGTTGTTCGGCAAACAGAGGGTTGCAGGTTTGAGCCTTGGTTTTTACTGACCCCGTCAAAGTGTCTTTGAGCAAGACACTGAACCCCAAATTGCTCCCGGTGTGCAGGTTGGCACCTTACATGGCAGCCTCTGCCACCGGTGTGCAGATGGGTGAATATGAGGCATGTATTGTAAAGCGCTTTCAGTACTCATAGGAGTAGAAAAGCGCTATATAAATGCAGCCCATTTACAATACTTAAAGTATAACAACTAGTAAAATAGCAAAAATATTTTTTTTTGTTTTAGTAATTCTAAGTTCATAAAAGTATACTTCAAGTGTACTGCAATAAACTAAAATGTGGACTAGAGATATACACCTAGTACACTAGTAGTATATAAATGAGTGTACTTGTATACTTGAAAGTATATTTTTGTAAAATTAAAATGACCTTATAAAGTATACTTAAAGTATACTTTTATAAACTTAGAAATGTTCCAATTTAGTGCGAAGAAGTATTAAATTGGTATACTTTCTAGTACATTACAAGTACATGGTCCGTAGTATATACTTGCGATACTTATACTCACGCATACTTAACATGAACTTCAAATATACAACTTTTTGCTAGTTTTGCATTACAGAAATTACAGTGTTATTACTGTAAGTTAGTTTGTTATCCGCATGGCACATCTGGATAATTTGCATGCATTTACATCAGCCTACTTTTACTGGAAATTAAATTTTAATTTAACTTTAAATAGGCCTGAGCAGTATCCGTAGTTGCTGGCTACTACTGAACATGTCTTGTGGCGCCTGGCATCAGGGGCGCAGATAGTGCTGGACGCACGTCCCCCCCCAGTAATATAGAGACTCTGATCCCTCCCCCACCTCCCAAAACCATGTAGACCATCACAAAGTGCTCTTAAACCTAACGTGTTTGCTGCAGGTAGGAGTCCGCTCGCACGCGCCGCATCTCCATGCCACACACACGCACGCGGAATTTGCAAGACGAAACGAATGAACGAATGTATGCATGCAAGAGATATGGGATGAGTTCTGTGGAACGCCATACTGCTTAAAATGGAATAAATATAGCTATAAATAAATGAACGCAGAAATAGTTCAGTAATTAATAATGTGTCCTTTTAGGTAGTAAATAATTCCGTAAAAATTTACTATATTTCATAATGTCACGATCGGCGGGGCAAGCGATCCGGGAAGCAGGCGAGTGGAGCCGGGAATACGTGCAAAGGGAGTTTATTCCGGGACAGACTGGCACAGACATCGAACATGACAATACAATGACGGATCTGGGGAAGACTGACTGAGACTCGGACTAAATACAAAAGACTAGGCAAACCGAACAGGCAACAGATGAGAACAATCAGGGATGAACACGAGGTAACGAGGTGGGCGTGGCACACATTAGGAGCGGACGGAGCGGGGCGTGACATAATCCCTCCCCCAAAGGCGCGCACACTGGGCGCGCCCGAGAGGAGGCAACGGACGAGACGAGGGGCCCAAAACCTGGAAGACAGAAGCAAAACATCAACGGTACACTGGAAACAGGACCGAGACACAAAACAGAAACAGAGACGAGAAGAAAGACAAGACCCGACAGAGCACAGGAAACGCAGACAAGCAGACAGAGAAGGGAGACACAGAGGGAACACCAACAGGCGGAACAAAAGGGCCAGGAGTGAACGAAGGAACCAGAGGGGGACGAGGAGCAGAGACAGGAGGGACAAAGGGACGAGGAGGGAACAGAGGAGACACAGAGGGCGGAGGAGCAGAGACAGGAGGCAGAAAGGGAAAGGGAGGAGGAACAAGGGGCGCCCGAAGGACCCCAGACAGGCGACGGGCAGCGGCTGGAGGGGCCGCAGGCGAGAGGGAGAAGGGAGCAGGAGGGAACCACACAGGGGCCAAGGGAACGGGACGAGGGAGAGACGGAGGGGACACGGAGGGAGCAGGAGGGAACACCAGCAAAGGTGGGCAGGAGGGGGAAGCCGCGGCAGGCGACGGCGTAGCCGGAGCCGGCGAAGGCCCCGTCGGACACCCCGCCGAAGCAGGGGGGCCCGGAGGCGACCGACATGGAGCCGGAGGCGGGACCGAGGACCGGCACGAGGAACCAGGGGAGGATCCGGAGGCGACCGCCGACCCCAAGCCGGAGGACCCGCAGGCAGCCACCGAGCCACAGCCAGGGGCCGAACGGGCGAGCCAGGGGGCAGGGCGGGTGGGACCCGGGCCCGACGCCTGTGTCCCCGTCCCTTACGGAACACTGAAAGGCGGGGTCCTGGGGTCGTCGGCCTTGTCAGGGCAAGGGAGTCATGAGGGAGGTCCCCGAGGGTGGAGGTTCGGGCAGAACAGGCGAGTCAGGCAGGACAGGCGGGTCAGGCGGTGCCGCTGGCAGAACGGCGGCAGCAGCAGGCGGTGCCGCGGGCAGATCGGCTGCAGCAGCAGGCGGCGTGGCCGGCAGGTCCGGAGCAGGCAGGTCCGGCACGGGCGTCAGGAGGGGCGCCGAGCGACTAGGCGCTGCCCCTTTAAGGGCTCTCGGGACCCGGGGAATAGCATCCCAAGCAGCCCTGGCTCCCCTGTTTGCCAGGCGCGCCGAGCGGTAATCATATGCCGCCAGCGGCGGCTCCTCGGTGATGGCGCTGGGGGCTTTGTGCACACGCAAGTGCGTCGCAATCGGGACGTCTCCCGAGAGCGGGGGTTTCCCCCGCTCACCCACTAGGAGTGAAGCTAGGGAGAGAAGACATCGCCCCACAACGATCGTCGGGTTGGCCTCTTCCCTTCTTCCCCGTCGCTTCTTTCTTTTCCGCCGTCTGGGACAGGAAGGTAGAGGCGGGGTGGTTTCTGACCAGGCGGGAGGCTGAAGCTGCTTCTCCCTTACCTGTTCGAGGAGATGTCTCAGGAGGGAGCGCACTTCCGCCATCACGTGCGCTTCATTGGTTGGGGTGACCGCTTGCAGGAGATCCCAGCTCCTTTCGGTGAGGGCGAACAAACCGGGATCCCCGCGGATCTCCGGTAGCTCTCGCCAGTACGCAGTTTCCTGCAGCAGGGCGAGCCAGAGGTCCTCCCCCTGCTGCGATGCGTCTTCCTGGAGATCCGTCATTATGTCACGATCGGCGGGGCAAGCGATGCGGGAAGCAGGCGAGTGGAGCCGGGAATACGTGCAAAGGGAGTTTATTCTGGGGCAGACTGGCACAGACATCGAACATGACAATACAATGACGAATCTGGGGAAGACTGACTGAGACTCGGACTAAATACAAAAGACTAGGCAAACGGAACAGGCAACAGGTGAGAACAATCAGGGATGAACACGAGGTAACGAGGTGGGCGTGGCACACATTAGGAGCGGACGGAGCTGGGCGTGACACATAACGTTTGACTTATGCACATACAATATTTAAATTGTATTCGTAAATGTGATTTTCATTAGACAGTTATTATTAAAAATATTATTTTATATAATGCAAGTATGGTTAATTAATTCCAATTATATTTCACAGTAAAGTTCACATTTACGTATTCCTGAATGACGATCTTCCTTAACAGCTTTTTATTTCATAATGCTTCCTTTCGTGATAATGGTGCGCTCTGTCAATCTCCGTTTGTAGATAGACACAGTAAAGTGCACGAATTCCTATTAGCCTATACATGGCTTTAATAACTTACAAGATGAAGTTTGCAGACATCCCAAGTCTCCCGGAAGTTCCGGGAGTCTCCCGCATATTGATAGCGGCTCCCTGATGCCCGCAAATTTAATAAAATGTCCCGGAAACTAGAGCAAGCACACAAGAGCATGCGCGCGAGACAGTAACGTGTCCACGACGGAATGAGAGAGAGAGAGAGAGAGAGAGAGAGCGTGCGTATGTATGGATCCCTGCGTGTGTGCCTGTTCATGTAGCCCGTGCTAGACAGACGGCATCCTGATTGGTCTACTTACTGTAGCAAAATAAGCCAATCAGATTTCAGTGCGGGCGGGCTTTTATTTAACTTCTCGAGGACCGAAGTTATCGGTTCAGTGGAGCCTTCGAAATTTAGTGTGCTGACTAGAAAAAAATAATTAACAAAAAATTATACATATGGCCAATGTAGAAATGGTCTTGTGTAAAATAAAGTCATTTCCCTTCTTGGCGGGGGGGGGGGGACCTCCCTGAAATGAGTTTTTGCAGGTTGGGATGTCTGAGTTTGAGGGTGTTCAACACTCCATGTTCACAGAAGTGTGCAGAATACCCAGATAATCTTTTGCGCATAAGATGTCCTTCGGTCCTGTACATACGACTTTTCTTTTGGGACATCACGGGCTCTGTAGTATATAAAAGGAAAAGTCGGATTGAAAACTGAAATGTATTTTTGATGAAAACACATTTTAATTCTTTTAGATTGACTGATATTTTTGTGTCATTAATACATTATAATTAGCAAGACGCTTCATTAACTATTTCTGAAATGGTCTTGATGGAAGAATATACTAGACTTCTTTGATCACTATCATATATCAAATTTGATAATGGTAAAGTCAGGATAGCAATAATTAACTGGTGCTCCCTCGCTATACGTACTAGCGAACATAAAATGCCATGAGAAAAGTTTCAATTTAGGCTTGTTAGCACTGTCAAAATACTACTGTACATATAACTAAATACACTAAGTAACTTGTGGGTTGACTGATTGGGTAGCAGTACAACTTCATGCGTCCAGGGTTGCTGGTTTGATTCCTGCTTTGTATGTGTGCAGTTTACTTCTTGTCCCTTGCTTACATGGGTTTCCTCAGATTACTCCTTATTTTGTTTAGCTGTCACTAACGGGCATGCCTCTGACAACTAAGAACCAACTGACGATCACAGGTGTTCCCGACCTTAACGCCAAGAGGTGAGTCATTTCCCCACCTATTGATTTGAGGGTTCAGTTTATGATCAGCTTCTGTCTTTCCCCTACACTGAACTGTCACTCAGCTACTACCACTGGGTCTTCTGTGGACCCCCCCCCTCCTCCTCACCCCCCTTCTTGCCCACCCCTAACCCCCCCAGGTTCACCATCAATATTGGCCTCGGGGAGCAAGACTATGCCCTGCATTTTGATGTCCGCTTCGACCACCAAGGGGACCATCGCACCATCGTCTTAAACTCCAAGCACAATGGCAAGTTTAACTCTGAGAAGAAGGAAAAACACTTCTTCTTTCAGGAGACCAGGGAATTCAAGGTGAGGCTGTTTGTATCACAAAGGTACCAAGTTCCATCTCTCCATGTTTGAAGTTTTATTGTCGCATGTATTTGGAAGAACGTAATAAAATTCTTGTGCCACAGTTGCAGGGGATGGGATGGTGCATGGGGGGGGATTGGACAACAGTGTAATACAGGACAAACAGCAGGAACGTGTGGGGGTGGGCCTGGGGGTGCCTGAGCCCTGAACTATTTAATGTGAATTCGTGCATGAAGTTTAAAGGTACTGAGTCCCTCTTTTTAACCTTTGAGCATCTGCCCCTGAAAAAGTCTCTGCACAACCCTGACAAACAGCAATCCAATTAAGATCAAGACGTGTGCAATCTCACAAAGAACAGCATCACTTCTTCTGTTTTGTTTAAACACTAACTAATTAAATGAAATATGTAGGGGTTTAAAATGTTAAATAAAAAAAAACTTTAATAATTATAATTTAGGTTATTGAAGCTCACCTGTGTAGAACAATTATTTATGAGTCCACTTGTCAAGGAAGAAATTAACTTAAACTCTTTACAGCTTCATGTTGTGAAAAGAATACATTGTGTTGTTTTTCATTTTAATCTACTTGTTGTATAGCTGGTTCTTCACAAAGAAGAATAATAAATATAAATGTACAAAAAAGTAGGGAATAAAAATCTTTAAAGATAACAGAATATTGACTCTTGTAGATATCAAACTATTCAAGGAAAAAACTTACCTTCGTGTTGACATTGTTACCTCTAGTGGTTGAAATATAGCATTGCATCATTTTCCCATTTATCCCCATGCATGTTCACCTATGCCTTACCCCAGTGTAACTGGCTGCTAGAAACGCCTTGAACAGAGGAAACTGGAATACTGGGAAGCCTGTTGCAATATTTCTTACGGTGAAAATTATAACTAGTTCCAGGTCCATCCAACAACAAAATACTGTCTCTACTGTTAGTATTTACTGAACGATTAGGGATGAACAGGTTTCTGTGAATGGAAGGCGCATCAGTCAGTGTTCACGATCAGTTGAAACAATATTAGAAAATTTAAAACTGCGTTTGAACGCACACGAGGGAAATCCCGAGAACTGAGATGCAGGGCAGTGCTGCCACCTAGAGTCTCACTGGTAATCACTCAAATATCGGAATATTTCTCTGATTTTCTTCGGCTACGCAGGGATGATCCTCTCAACCATATGTATGCTCTCAACTGCGATAAATAAAGAATTCCACCTTGTGGCATTAGGGAAAATCTACGGAACCCCTGAAGGAACTTCTGCAAAATATTAAAATGCTCATACTTCCGTGTGTGTGCCTGATGATTTCATGCACACACACGAAACTAACCATCACTTCCGGTACCCAATGCGACATAAATCTTTTGTTTTTATTAATAATTGCACTGTGTCCATGCAGTACCAATGACTATAAGCGAGTGACAACTATTTAGTTTTAAATTTATTAGTCCATTAATTCTATCCTTTGTACATTGAACGGACACAATGCAATGCACACCTTTAATTATAATAGATTATGTATTTTTATATGTGTCTAGTAATATTTACGCTGTGTCAATTTACCAAAAGCAATTGTTTTTGCAAACCACCAGTGTTCAATATTAGGGATGGTCAATACCATAGGCGTTACTCATGGGGGGCAGTGATGTTTGACCCACCCAATATTTTCCAAAATTTAGCTTTTAAAAATATGAATAAACTTGTCAGGAGAAGTCGGTTCTTGCCTAACCTACTAACTGAGGGGAACTTTTTTTAGCTGATGATTTCAGTTCCATACGCATAAAGGTATTGAAACGAAAGGGTAGCCTATGCATATGTATACCTATAGGAGGTCATACTAGATCATTTGAGAGGAAGCTCTTTAGTGAATAAGTATCAGAATATTTATCTGAACAATAAGTATCTGAACATTTTCCACCTCACATTTTTCATTTTCATTCCTTTTTTTCCCCCAGGTAACAATCACCTTCACCCATGATGAATTTCAGGTTAAAATCCCTGATGACTACCCTGTATCATTCCCCAATAGTTTTGGTGAGGATGAGTTCAAATTCATCCAAGTACACGGGGATCTCAGAATCAAGAGCTTCAACATTGATTAAGCAAGTCTACAGGCACTGGATCTGCCCTGTCCGGCTGCTGATTGGCTGTGATCTGTGCCCTATCCTCTGTGAAACTTCACCATGATGCTTATTTTTAACCCCGCTAATGCAGTAGTGACTGTACCATGTGTTCCTTCTTGCTATATGCCTCTGTTTGCACAAACAGTGTGAACCTGCACAACTTCCCCAGCTGGTCTTCTGAAGATATTTTAAAGTGCAAATATGAAAATATCTTGACATTTTAGAAGTTTCAATAAATCACTGCATTTTGCACTGCTTTCATTCTTGAATGAGTGGTAACGTCTGTTTTTATTTTGCAGACTCTGGTATGTTGATTTGTCTGTGTGTGTGTGTGTGTATATATATATATATATACAC